GATAGATAGATAGATAGATAGATAGATAGATAGATAGATAGATAAATGCAGATGAAGGAGGATAACAATGATCACCAACAAGCTCTTTTAATCTGTTAAATAATCTCTTAAATAATAATCTCTTTTAAATAATCTTAATCTCTAATATTTGCCGGCAGTGTTTTGGTCTCACAGATCTACCGGCCAGGAAAGTGCTCATGTTCCAGCCCCCGGCCCCAGTCGATCAGCGCAGAGTGCAGCAGATGAAATAGTTAACATCATAGTTAATCATAACTGATTAAAAAGAACCGAAGAAAAAAACCCATCTGCAAATTTACTGAAACATACTTTAACAAAGTGAAGGAAGATCTGAAGAATTTGTGTAAGAAAAAGAACAAACAGTCGGTTGTCATTTCTATCTCAGAGGGTGAGTTTACACTTATACAGTCAAGCCAAAACCACTCCCTGTGAAGGTTTTACAGTGGGTGAGTGAGAACTGCAAGCTTCTCTGGTGCAGTGTTCAATATATTTTAGCCAGTTTCTAACTTCTCTGGAGATGAGAATGTTACTACATTACAGGCAACATTACCAGCATCAAGCCATCTTAACAAGCCTGTAAACGGATGTCAATGTATTGAAATAATTAAGCAGCTCAGACAAATTGCATCGCGTCTCGTCACAGCTAGTAGGTCACAATAAGATTAGTATGAAGCACGAGCCTGCTCAAAGCTCAAAACCCAGTTTCTGTGGCATAAATAACTCACACGTGAATAAATAACATTAATGGAAACAATTATGAACAAAGTTCTTTCAGTTCTTAAAAAAATAAAAGAAATGAACACCAGACCACAATAAAAAAATATCCAAATATGTATCTAATTGGTAGTCATTTAGTTAGAAAAAGTTGGATTTTGATTTTAATTTTTTGACAGTAAATATACATGTATATATATACATATAAATATACATTTTCTGCACATGATTCTTAAATTGCCACTTAAAAATGTCATATCTGTAAATCATGGATTCATATTGATACACTTAAAGATTCAACCACAAACTTATGATAAGGAGAAGAAGTTACATGATCCACTAGTTTGGGCCGACAGAATTAATAAATAGTGTCGCAAACAGTCTGCATAATCTGGAGAAGGCACATTTTCAGCTGAGCCCCAACACATGACCAAGCTGACACAACAGGCAAATATTTTCCCATCTAACTCACCAAATCTCTGCATTAGGGCCCTTTGTTTTTGAAACCTGAAGGAAATTACTGATATTGGATTTATCTTTAATATGTGTTTTTATTTTGAGTGGATTTCCTCACTTGTGCGAGCACTTTGATTTAAAAAAAAAAAAAAGAATCATGGTATAAAAATCTAGTACTGTGTTATTGATGTTTGAGCATTTGAATGAGAGTCTCAGGGAAATGATGTCAGCATTGTTTTTTGAAAGCCTGAGATTTGACTTTGTTTCATCAAGGAAATCATTTCCTGCTTTTGTACTCCGTCCCCGTCTTGAGCTCACACTGTAGACTTCACTCAAAGCCACCCTTCTCCTAAACTCCCCTGCCTCTGTGTGTATTCACGTTGTGTTTCTGTTGGCTGCATTACTGTACGTTTTAAGGAAGCCGCCAATAGCGAAACAGGAAGGCGCTTCATTTCCTGTCCACTTTTTCTAGAAAATACACCAGATCAGAGAAGCAGGAAATCTCCACAAAAGTCTAAAAGAGCCTCACAAAAGTGTACAGATACACGACTTTTACGCCATCAGTGTGTGGAGAAGCATCTCTCTGGTCTGACATCAGTGTTGTGTGCCATGAGTTTGTGTTTTGTGGACTTTCCTGTTCAAGGTTTATTCTTATCTGGTGTTTTTTATTGCCTATAAATTAAACCTTTGAGTTTTTAGGTGTTTCTATATATTCACGGTATAAAAATCCTCAGGTTCATTCTGATTTTGTCGGATCCATAAAGGGTTTTTGTAATGTGCACCTTTGATTTTCTTTCCCTTTTTTGGTCTGAACATAGGACGGACGACTAAGCTCACCTGAGTCGCTCCTCCTCCTTCTTGCGCAGCCTCATGTCTCTCTGCACCACCTGCAGCACATGTGCCGCCTCTTTATCGCTCAGTCCAGCCAGATCCAGCTTCCGACCCATCTTTGACTCCTCGCCGGGCCGTCTCTCAACCCCTCAGACCAAACAGTCAATCAACTGTTTTCATCTGGATAAAAACACACAAAGGCAGAAAAGACAAAAATATTCCGAAATATGGCATTTTCCAAAAAAAATAAAAATTCTAAAACAGCATAGAGTAACAAACTTCAATATAAGGAACTCCAGAAGAAGTTTGGGCTACCTGTACCATAGTTCCACTCCTACAAACTTCTTCTTACCATCTTATTACCGAGAACTATAAAGCTTTTAGATCCTGTGAGGGCCCAAGCTGTGAAACAAAAAACAAAAGAACACTGGACAAACCTCAAAAGACTATAAACAACTATCTTGAAACGCATTGTTCCAAACTTTTCATCTTTGGACGTCACCTGAATAATGCAACCCTAATCACAGGTTTAGTAGTTTTAGTGAATCAGATTAAAAGTAAAGAAAGTGCCTTCTGATACCTGGAATAATAGAGTTATTGGTATAAAACTTTACTGCTAATAATAAGCCAATTCTAGCCATAGACAAAATACACAAATGTGACATGTATTATCCACCGCATGACCACTAAATTTATTAACAGCATTGAAACTGCCAGCTCCCTTGAAATGACTTTAAATGGCCCATATAGAGCCAAACTTTGTACAGAAGACACCCTACAGTTACTAATTTGTATTAACAATCGGTGAGTTTTATGTCTGTTAAACAAGTTGGACTTTACAGAGAATCCGTCAGAAAATATTGAGCTGGTTCATCGCAGTTTCTCAATAAATGAAAAAAACACACGATTTCTTTCCGAGTACTCACAGACTGCAAGTTGTTATTCTATATAGACAAAAAAAGTCTCCTAGATGAAGGTTACAGACCACAAACAAGACTTTAGCATAAGTTAAATAAATAACTCACCCGTCTCCTTCTGGACTGAGCCCCTTCACTGCCACACAAAGGAAAAGAGAGAGAGACTCATGAAATACTGATGTCCACCCGGTCAAAATATCCAAACTGTGAAAAAACACTTGAGAAAACGTGTCTGTCGGCTGCTGCAGGTCCAATCCGCTCAGCTGCTGTTGGTCCATGTGAGGAAATGAGGATCAAGCCAGATTTGCGTTTCTCTGCCAGCCAGGAATGTGATTCTTGTTTAATACTAAAAAAAAGGGGAAGATGAATGAAAACTGAATCGTAAAGTTGTTGTTGTTTTAATAGAAATCTATAAACAACAACAGCAACAACAACAACAACAACAATAATAATAATAATAATAATAATAATAATAATAATAATAATAATAATAA